AGTACAGAATTCAAGAGAAAGCAATTAAGGGTAAAACCAGATATTAGTATGGGAGTGCATGCAGGTATGGTTGAAGTTGGATTTCCAGGTAAAAGTGATTGAAAGAACAATAGAGTTTAGATTGAAAGGAAACCAAAGTATTTACAAGATTAGAAGTTGAAAAGAATTGAAATAATATTTGAAGTGAAATAATATTCGAAATGAAATATTATTTGAAATGAAATATTATTTGAAATGGAAAAATTAGAAAAAAATATTTACACACAAAAACAAAACAGTAACAGTTATTTCGCCACACTATGATCATACCGTTCGATGACTTTCGGTAAGAAAAATATTATTAAACTTTGACATTGACATTCGAAAATATCGTTAAAACTTATCAGGATGGTCTTTTAGCTTGTGGTACAAAGGAATATATTAACTGCCTTTGCTTTAATTCACATTGTTAGGAAAGACTGACTTCTCATTTTCTGTTTGTCTTCGATGACATATTCACTAAGTCCTCACCGCTTCAGAATAATTGCAGACAAACGCAAAACTGATAGAAATCTGATTAAACAATGATGTTATTATTACCTGGCATGCGTCTCTTCCTCCAGTTGAACTTCCAGCACACAACATCCTTTCCGTAATTAGACCAGATCCATAATCATCAGCACATTGTTCATTAGTCATTACGGTCACCGAGACCGCTTGAAGATCGCTAGAAAGCATGCTACCCTCCTTCACTGAACCCCATCCCGTCACTATACCGTTTGTACCGGCAGGGATGGACGTATTAGCTGGTGGTAATCCTACTACTCCGATCTTTCTCGTTAGGGAAACAGTTGTGGAAAGATGGAGAAGGGATATGTCATAGTCGGTTAGCCAAGGGTCATAATTGGGATGGTTACTGAGGGCTGATATACCCACAATCGTACCGCCGGAATTGAGAATGGATGAACCCAGTCGAACGGATATTGTCAATGGAGATCTGTTATATGTATAATAGAGAATGTTAATGCATTACTGTCAGAATGTATGGAAAGCAAAATACATACTGTTGTGTACAATGAGCAGCTGTGATAACCCAGTTTGTAGAGATGAGCGAACCTCCACATATATGAGAACTCCACCATAGTACAGACACTTGATAGGGATACTCTTCGATATCTACTGTATTACCTCCGACTATTCTACCATCTAACGGGTAGTTGGTTCCTTTCTTTGGGAACCCTACAAATAAGCAGAAAGTACAAATAGTAGATACATAATTGTGAAGTACATAATAAGTGGACACGCTGTAATTATAATTAAAATCAATATTTATTCAATCGCTTTTCTTTTTATCGTGTTAATTCATCATGGTTAATCAGGTTTTTTTTATCTCTCAGTATCTAGTGTCACAGTAACAAGTCGTCACAAATTGTCACAAGCTTTATTAATTAATTTTTACATGCGATAATGAAAAACGGAAATCTAAAAGGGATGACTCATTTACATCTTCCTTGTGAAAACTTTATTAGTAGTGCACGCGAATTTCTGAACATTATATGTATTTTGTAACTAAAACGCGTGTATTTCTGTTATCTATTATGGAGTTGTAAGAGCTAAAAGCCTCATCTATTCTATCTCCTTTGTTTCAGTTTTCTCCGCCAGGCGCTTAAGATTACAACAAAATCCTGATATATTCATAAAACGTAAGTTTTTCATTTATTTTATATTTTTCAATTTCTGAGAACATATTAAGTAATAAATAATGGAAGCCTGAAGCGTATTCTGTAATAGTTCCTTTTAGCTATATAAACAGCTACAAACAGCATACTAAACGCCATCTGTAGAGAGCTGCTCCTACTTGTAGATTCATTAAGTTTCTACAAAACGTTGAATAGGAACTTTTTATCCAAATAAAGCTTTTAAGCTCTTCTTAGAATTTGAATAATACTTATCTGCTCAAGCAAAATCTCATTTTTAATTTAACACTTACTCGTAATCAGTAACAGTTACTACCTATACAATAAACACAACAATTATATGTAAACGCAACCCTCTAAAGATCGGGCTTATTTTTCAAGTGCCATACGTTTACCATAACAAGTTAATCCTGTTAAAGAACTGTAAAGTGACTTTAGTACGGAGTAATAAAGGTTTGAGAACACAGTTATTCCCAAAGGAACAGTTTCAATGCGATCGGTAACGTAAGCATAGTCTCGCGTAGGTGCTAACAACAGCTGAATTCCCCCAGTTCAGCTTTGACTAAGCGCATGAAGGAAATAATATAAAAGTTAAACGAAAGTGTACTAGGGATTTGAGACGTTTGTTACTACACATTTTGAAATTTATTTATTAGAAACTGATGATGCTGTATGGGTAACTAATGAGTTCGAAATCGAGATTTAATTTGGTGGTTACTATTGACCGAAAACTTAAATGCAATAGTACTGTTACTTAATTGATATCTGTACGTCTGTCATATATGAAGATTGGAAAAACTTTGGCGGTTGTTGTAGAACAAACAGAATAGCTCAAAACCCCAACGCCAAAACACGACACTGTAGTTGTCCGAAGCACTTTTCGGTAACAAAGTTACCTTCTTCAGGGACTGAAGTAAATACACACATAAACACATACACGCATAGACGCATACACACATAGAACAAACAGAATAGCTCAAAACCCCAACGCCAAAACACGACACTGTAGTTGTCCGAAGCACTTTTCGGTAACAAAGTTACCTTCTTCAGGGACTGAAGTAAATAGTTAATAGTAAATAGTAAATAGTTTACTTCAGTCCCTGAAGAAGGTAACTTTGTTACCGAAAAGTGCTTCGGACAACTACAGTGTCGTGTTTTGGCGTTGGGGTTTTGAGCTATTCTGTTTGTTCTGTCTGTCATATAAACAGTTGTTAGATGTTCTTTAAAGGGAAGTTTTAACAAAATTGCTCATAAAATATTTACAGATCTATTCAGTAATTTTATGTTTCCCTTATTTTCAAATTCAGAAAAATAATTCTCTTCCAAAATCTAGTTTAACATAATTTAACAAAATTTAACTTTTATTAGTTTTAAACTAGTGTTAATTAAATATTAACGACAGACTAACCACAGGAGATTCTTCTATAATATTCTCATCCATATTTGTACCTGTTACTGCTAGTTTTGCATCTCATACCTTCTTAGTACTTACCAAAGATTGTAACAAACAATGCCGCCAAAACCAAGAATAGTTTCATTATGTACCACCCAGTTGTTCACCAACAATTAGCACTTCAAGTGGGTACCAATGTTTTTATACAAAGGGACACCATTCGTGATATGATACAATCTTATCTATTTACATAAAAATTAGCAAATTTTCATTGTAGTGCCGAGATGTTTTGGCAACGAAAATATTAATCGTAGTCGTTGTAGCACCGTTTTTAATTAGCACTCCAAATAGATAAGACATAAGTGGGACGTTTCCTACTACTGGTTATTTGGTCAACCTGCCCTTCACGTCAAGGCAATCACGACCTAAAATATGTGTTTCGTTAATATGCGATTGTTTATTTAATGTCGTGAAATTGGTGTCGCTTTCTTTTAAATTGCTATTCGTCTTTTCTTCAATACCATTACCTACACTGCGCCGTTTAAATCTTAATTTCCATTCATTACGGAACCCTGCACTTTTCTCATTATTATAATTATACCTACGTGTTGCTGCCGTAATTATTTTATACTCCTATTTAACTTACGAAAGATTCGTTATTGTGAAAAAGACTTATATAATGTGCACATTCACAAATAAATAAAAATGTAGACCATAAAATCATTTGTGTTAAGTAATTAATTAATTTATTGACTCAATGTGGAACTACCAGTATTGAATAATCGTTTGACTTTCTTACTATTACCCAAATTTACTCCAATGCTTAAAAATTTAAATAAATCAATAGTTCTTCTATAGAGACTACTTAAAATCAATACATACTTCAAAATTCATCCCCATGGAGTAGGCAATTTCAACTGTATTTTTGAGTCAGTTAAGATATGCTTTAAATGTTCACTATTATTTATTTTATCTTATAGTTGTTTATAGTTGGATATGCAAATTTTAAGTGATATGTTCTGCCTTTCTGACTAAAATCGGTTGAAACTGACTTTTTAGTGCTTAAATATACGTATTTATGTAGTATCAGAACGTTTTAGAAACAAAATGAAGCATTTCTTTTCGATATTCAACTTTGAAAATTTATTTTTGTGTCTTTGACTATTAAAAAAGAATAAAGATAAAATTTTAAGTTTACCATAAGAATTTATATATCAGGTATATTATTTCCTAATTTATTTTAGAAATGAAATTGCATTTAAGTATCACAGATATCGATAAGATGATGTTTACTTATAACTTCTCACAATCAAATCATAAGGTTTTGATATTTGTGTCAGTGGATGTAGATAAATAAATTTCTTTTTATTGTCCGGGTCTGGGTTTCGCAGGGAAAGGTATTAAACGAGAAATTTTTTCAAGCAACTGAGCGATTCACTTTATCTTTCGTTTGCTGTCCTTATTTATTTATTTATTTATTTTTTCTCGAGCTTCCCCGTTTGACGTAGGTTTATTACTAGGAACTAATTAAACTGTAACAACATCAAAAAGGACGTTTCCAATTTGAGGAGTAATCCGCTGAAGACCAGCGGATTACTTTAACATCAAAGCAGGCAGAACTGAAGAAGGAAATAGGTTCCTTTCAGTACACTCAGTACCCAAATAACCTAATAAAAATAGATAAAANTCCTATTTAACTTACGAAAGATTCGTTATTGTGAAAAAGACTTATATAATGTGCACATTCACAAATAAATAAAAATGTAGACCATAAAATCATTTGTGTTAAGTAATTAATTAATTTATTGACTCAATGTGGAACTACCAGTATTGAATAATCGTTTGACTTTCTTACTATTACCCAAATTTACTCCAATGCTTAAAAATTTAAATAAATCAATAGTTCTTCTATAGAGACTACTTAAAATCAATACATACTTCAAAATTCATCCCCATGGAGTAGGCAATTTCAACTGTATTTTTGAGTCAGTTAAGATATGCTTTAAATGTTCACTATTATTTATTTTATCTTATAGTTGTTTATAGTTGGATATGCAAATTTTAAGTGATATGTTCTGCCTTTCTGACTAAAATCGGTTGAAACTGACTTTTTAGTGCTTAAATATACGTATTTATGTAGTATCAGAACGTTTTAGAAACAAAATGAAGCATTTCTTTTCGATATTCAACTTTGAAAATTTATTTTTGTGTCTTTGACTATTAAAAAAGAATAAAGATAAAATTTTAAGTTTACCATAAGAATTTATATATCAGGTATATTATTTCCTAATTTATTTTAGAAATGAAATTGCATTTAAGTATCACAGATATCGATAAGATGATGTTTACTTATAACTTCTCACAATCAAATCATAAGGTTTTGATATTTGTGTCAGTGGATGTAGATAAATAAATTTCTTTTTATTGTCCGGGTCTGGGTTTCGCAGGGAAAGGTATTAAACGAGAAATTTTTTCAAGCAACTGAGCGATTCACTTTATCTTTCGTTTGCTGTCCTTATTTATTTATTTATTTATTTTTTCTCGAGCTTCCCCGTTTGACGTAGGTTTATTACTAGGAACTAATTAAACTGTAACAACATCAAAAAGGACGTTTCCAATTTGAGGAGTAATCCGCTGAAGACCAGCGGATTACTTTAACATCAAAGCAGGCAGAACTGAAGAAGGAAATAGGTTCCTTTCAGTACACTCAGTACCCAAATAACCTAATAAAAATAGATAAAAAATTATTAATATTTTATCAAAGTGAACAGAGAAAAAGACGTAGAAAAGTTACATTTACATAAGCCATATTTTATTTGTAAAACCAAAAAATAAATTCAAAGGGTGAGTCTGGAAAAGTAAATATAAAATTTATATTAATTTATATTCTTTTGATTGAAATTTATCTATTGTAAAATGACAAAAACACTTGCAAATTTCAACTTTGAAGGATTAACCTAAACTTCACGAAACTTCCATTTTTTTATGTTAATTTTTTTCGGAAAACATCCTCCATAAAAATAAATCGTC